AGAAAGGAGACACATCTACGCATTGTATCGCTGTTCAGAAAACATCAGGTAGAGTTCTCGCAAGATATCTGTGGTCTCGACGAGAATTAAAACGGTCAGTGAGGCACATGAGAAAGGAGACGCTACTCATACACAGTAGAGCAATCTGCGTAATCTATCGCTGTTCAGAAAACATCAAGTAGTCTAATGCGAATGCGACTCAGGAATTAGTTGCACAGATATTTGTATTGAGTGTGTTAGTAATTTAACATTGTAATTTAGTTAGCGGCATTTATTTTATTGTATGATTTCTCACTATATGTGTAATTTCTGTGTGCTGAATCTGCCTGTCCAAAAAGTTCGAAGTTAATCTTTTGACATGGTATTCAGTTTATAAATCTCTCTCCTCTATCACGTCGGCCGCGTGCATACATTCATCATGCAAAGTCTACGCCATGTCAAAGTGCTAGATATACCGCTGTGCAAAAAAACTCTGGAACTTTTCTCGAATACTAAAAAAACACTTAGTTTAAGGCCGAAAAACGAAAAAAAAACAAGGAGAAACAGGGAAACTAGAATCAGATGACCAATGGCCTCTCTGATGATTAAACACAAAGGACACCAAAAATACCCATACTAGTCCCAAGTGTTCCGCAGTAGATGGTTTGATTCAGGGTACAACCGTTTTTTGCAGGGAACAACATTTTAGTAATTTTTTTTTGCAACTATGCAAAGATTTGCAAGGATGATAAGAAAGGAAAAATATTATACATTCCGTTGTCAGTAGTTTGAGGAAATGCTTCCACATCCATCTGAGATTGATAAAAAGAAACCATGCAAATGATTCATCAGAATACTTGGAGTCTCGTCCAGACAGTGGTTAGATACGTTCCGGCTATTGAGTTGACATTAAAAATTCACCATTGCCACAAAACTTCGCCAATACAAAGAACACATACGCCACCCACATCGAAAAGCTACGAAGATACAGATGCAAATTTAATTTCATTTAAGAAAAAAATATTTTTTATCATTCCCGCCCGATCACATCCCATATTTGCTCAGTCTGGGAATGACAGTCTGGGAATTTCAGAGAGAGTAGTTGTGTCAACTCCAGAAGCGAACATTCGAGTTAGCAAACAATTGATCGCGTTGAACGCCCTGTGCCAAATTCGAAAATGTCCAAAAATAGGACATGTTGAGGGTGTACAGTGGCCATGTTTGCAGAGCCCGTACAACAACAAAAATTATCACTTTCCGCTGCATGATTATAATACATTCTCTTTACTATGTACGTACGTAGTAGGCGAGAAAATAAAAAAACAATACACAGGAAGCAACCAACAAACAATAATAACAATGTAGGTGTTGTGGTTCGTTATCGTTGGCATTTTTCATGAAATAATTATAAACATTGTCATTGCCAACCGTAGTATTTATTGCAAGAGCAGCTTTCGATGGCTTAGCCGTCATCATCAGTGGCTTAGCCATCATCATACTGATCATACTGATGATACAATAATAACAAACCAACAACGCAACCAATTACAAAGCGCGAAAACAGCCAAAAAAATTAAAATAGTACAACCTGCAACAACGCGTGTTTTTTGATCGCTTGTTTCTGTAATCCGGATCATAGTGCGGCGTTGAGGCGCGTCTCTAGCGATCCGGCCCGTGGATGAGGGGGGGGGG